TATATATATATATATATATATATAAAAAAAAGCACCCATTATAGAAGTGGCAGAGTAAATTTTGCTTGAAATCTATTCTTCATCATTTAAATAGGAAATTGTATGATTAATTAAAGACTGTGGAGCACGGAAAAGAAAATTTAATAAATCTAATAAATCCCAATGAGAGAAATGTGCACGTTAAAGAAATTCTAGTTACATATATAGATCTCTTCAAGAAAAAAATAATAAGAAAAGCTAACGACCATTTACTTATTTTAAAAAAAAGTTTGAAGGCTGCAGAACATTCTCCCTTTGCTTTTCTTAAGATGACAAAAGAAGGCAAAAAAAAATAGTGCAAGAGGTAATGCAAGTGTAGGTGCTCAGAGTTGGTGACGCAAAAGTGAAACAAAAAGGTACAGAAGAAAGCGTGGAGCAGGGCCTGTCTTTTAGGGAGCCGAAACATCCACACTGAAGTACCCACACTGACCCCATTCCAAAAAAAATTAAAACAGACGACTTTTCTCTCCAATGAGACACACCCGTTAAGCCTGCAAAGCAGAGCAAAGTCTCCCCTTAAAATGGAGATCAGACTAAGACAATAAACGCGAGACACCACCTGTGCATGCCTTTCACTTTCAGGACTGGCACTTTTGTCTATATCTTTGATTGCTTAAGATGCCCACCCCTCAAGGTGCGTCACTTATTTGTGTCCCATACACACCCTGCGGCATGTTTCTATGTGGCCTGTGAGCCGCGAGCGTCCCCATCCGGGCCGAGGGCAGCTGGCCGGCCCTGCGCTAAAACGCTGGCAGAGACCATCGGCGGATGACTGGCTTCACTCACCAAGTTCTCATATTCGCTACTGTCCTCATCTTCGTCTTCGTCTTCATCCTCATCATCTTCCTGCCCTGCGGCTTGTCTGTCTAACGAGTCAGAGCTCGATCCGTCGCCATTGCCGAGGTATGGGGTGTTGGGCGTGGCAACGGGATTAGAGCTGGCGGCGAGGCCCAGGCCCATCCCCAGTGGGCCAGGCGTAGGGTGTCCCGGAGAGCCCACAGCTTGGGGCCGAGGCAGTAGAGCAGCACTGGTGGGTGGGGAAGAGGAGGAGAGCAGAGGGTCACCCTGGGACAAGAGGTCAGAATAAGATGGTGGGTTAGGTGAGGTACTGGGCCGCTCCGGAGCAGAGGGTGTGTGGAAAGGTATTCTGGAAACAGGGGAAGCCTCAGAAGGGTCTGTGTTCTCATCCGGAGTGGGATGGGAGTCTGCATTTTGGGCCTCAAGGAGCCCTGTAGAGTAGAGAGAAAGATGCATCTTGTCAAAAGGGTAAAGCATGTGGACATTTATGCAAAACGTTAGCACATAAAATCTGAGGGAAAGGGATAGACACAGAAGAACTGACGCTCAATATACTGAGTGCTTTTGCTGTTGGCTATAAAGCCAGTTTATATTCAGCACACATTTGAAATTTTACGACACAATTCTAGTTTATCGAATATAAAACAGGCTCCTACTTCTCTCGTCTTCTGCCATCTTGCGTTTCCTGAGAGCAATTTCTTGTTTGAGTTTGTCCACATCCTCTTGAATTTTCTCTTTCACACGCTCACTTTGTTCTACCTCCCCACACACAGCCTGAAAAGAAGACAAACAGGTAAAGAATTCACACAGAAAAGGAAAAACAAAGTCATCGAGTGAGAAAACAATTTCACCACGCGTCTTCCACCAGCTATCCAACATCCAGCTCACCTGCAATTTATCTTGCAGTGCACTGTAGACTTGGTATATTGTTCGGATATCCTTCATGACACCATCTTTGTCAAAGAATTCGGCCCTGGAAAGATATTTACCAATAGGTATATCCATTACATCATTCAAGACATAATATATAACATCACACAGAACGAGCTCACCTAGCTTGTTCATCAAAGGCAAAGGCATTAGAGAAGTAAGGATGTGTAGTGTGTACATTCTGGATGCCATCTATATCGTTATGCACATGTTATGTCAAGGTAAAGCTGTGGTATGCTGTCAGGTGGCTGCTGCCACTCCCCGCATATCAAGGGAGACTTATGGCCATCTAAACTCTCTCTAACATATGTTTGCAGTGACGTCGGTGCGGTGCAAAGAGGAAGTTGAGAGCCCCAATCTTACCCATGCTCTTTGATGACCTGGGTGTAGCTGATTGAGGTGTTGGGCACTGAGGAGACTTTGTATTCCTGCTGGCTTGTGTTGCCAAGGTTTGGGATTGAGAGGGTGATCCTCTGGTTGAACCTACTGAGAAGAGATGACCAATTAGCACTGTTAAAACAGGAAATGAATACTATATGAATGAATACTATACCCATAATATAATATTACAGACAATCATTCATTTAAATTTCTTATATATGCGTGTGAAATATATATATTTATATACTTTAACTCTTTTTTTCCCCCAAGTAGCACACATATGCAGAACGTTTGTCATGTTTTGACTTTATAAACATACTTCCCAATCCCATACCAGTGCTCCACTTCACTTTAGTAATTATAAAATCTGTACACGCCCCTGAATGAAATTCATTGGGATCGTTTTTTTGTGAGATGACATGAGGCCAGGGACGGAATAAATGTAACCGACACACTGAATGACATTGATGAGATTTGAGCATCCCTGTACAAAAAGAACTTAGAGACACATTAAATCGAAAGGGTGGGAACTACCTCTATGTAAATCACAAGCCTGGACAAGAGTAAATATTTGTTGATCAAAGAGTAGTTTGACATTGTACCATAAATAAGTGCTTTCTTGTGGCCAACATGCAGTTATTACCTGTGGTTAGGTCTGAAGAGCACATACTCCAGTGCGTGCGTGGAGTTGTTGGCGGTGGAGATGAAGCTGAAAAGAAGGAAGACGAGGTCGGGCACACCAAGCAGCTCAGACAGCTGTTTGTGGATGATCTGTTCCCTGAACGACATCTGCTGCTGTGTGTTCCTCCGGAACCGGTACCAACCAATAACGTTCTACACGCCCGAAGAAACAACTCATTTTAAAAGTGTTCAATCCAGTAAAGTCTCAAGTACATGGGCGACCAAAATAAAATACAGTGTGTGGAACAAAACTGACACCAATAATTATGAAACCTGTACAGCTACTTATTGAAATACTTCAATGAGAAAACAAATAATTTCAAAACAATGGTAGATGCTGTATAATATCCACAATATTATATCCACAGCCACAAAGTATGTTGAAATGACAATAACAAACAAATTCACTCACTTTCCGCCTATCTTTAAGAATGCTGTTGAGATTTTCTTCATTGAGTTGGCCAGCATAGTCATAAAAGCTGAAGACAGGAAAAAAAATAAACAAACAAGTACGTTCAAACTGATTCAACACATGTTCCTGCTCCTCCACTGCCTCGGCCTAATTCTTTTACCAAATCTTGTCAAATGAGGCCATCTACTGTCCAATGTCAGATTAATTCAGCCTGTGCCAAAACACATGTAAGGCAAGTGATCTATCTATTGAAGTTGTCAGTATATTACAATGACCTAAAACTAAGACACCACAAGCTGCTCTGCACAAAGGGCCTTTATATTGAGGGTAAAAACAATGCTAATACACGCCTGGAGCTCTTGGGCTGTCTACATGCGTTAGACAACAGCTCTTGTAAAATGTCACTTCAACCTACCTTACCTTGTTTTGCCTGTTTTACAACAGTGTTATCTCAGGTGTTCTAAACAAAATGGTCATGGCCTTAAAGCAGTGTCTGTTCTAGATTTTGGTAACATGTACATTGATAATTTATGATAATAGTAGCTGTTTGAGAATAAAAAGCTCATATCTTACCTAAATAACTGTGCACAAGGATCATGGGTATGAATTTCTGTTGGGAACAAATAGTGACAGATGTTTCAGATATATAGCATCATACATGCAAAATCTTTAAAAGACGTAAGCCAAAGTGTAGCCCCACACCCAAAATGTATGTACTTAAAGAATGATTAAAGTTGTCCCTAATATATGCAACAAATAGGGGAGTGGGGAATATGTCAACAACATATCTGTACACACCTACACAGTCTTGGGAAGAGCTCTTAAACAAAATAAGTGGGAACACCTGTGGGGGCACAGGGGCTTTTACACAACTTGTGATACATGTAAGCCCGGCCTTTTTGGAAAATGGTGCAAAATGACTGTGCTATGCTGAAGGCCAGCAGACATTTTGACTTCAATGGTTAACAATGGTTCTGTCCTATTTAAGTAATACCAAATACCAGGACACTGAAAATTAAGCAGCTAAATGGTATTCAGCCATAATTAACTCTATTATTATACCTGTGCTTTTCCTATTGTGACATAAAGAAGGCTATTATAGTGTGATCATGTGAACTTCTTCACTCTCTCAGACTTGTTTTTGTCTGTTGCAGGGCTTACCTACTACCTGGAGCAATTCTGCAGTGCTGATCTGTGCATCACTGATGGTGACAGTCTCTTCTTGCCGTACATCTCCTAATAGGAAGCCCTCCTGTGCAAAAACATTTAGACAAAACTGCGGTTAGGGCACTAATGTAGACCTGAAACAATTAGTCAGTTAATCAGTTATCAACTAAGAATTGAACAGCTGGTAAATAAACAGCAGCACTGCCTTTCCCTTTTTGTTTATGTCAGGAATGCAGACAAACTTGTTAACAACAACTAGCCACCTGTCCAGGGCCGACTTTTCAAAGTCTGGCATGTAAACAGCGCTGTCGTTAGCTTCGTTTGCTCTTATTGTAAAAGGTGAATTTCTCAAACGATGACCACAAAGGATATATAATCGATTGCATTTATTTAACGAGCACGCCAACGTACAAAAAAAAGGAAAAATAAGTATATTCTTACGCATGTCAATCACTTTGTTAGACGATTTTGACTTGAATAAAACTGACATTAGCAACGTGGCTAATAAGCTAATCTAGCAATGTGGTAACAACACAAACAAAAAGGTTTCGTGTAACCTAGTTATGAAATTAACTGCGTAAACTTCACTTCATATCATTGATGACACAATAAACGGATACCAGATGACAGGTCGAAGTGCAGACGTTAGCGGCACAGGCACACGGAAGTCACTTGACTTGGCAGCTAGCTAACCTGCTAAGTAGCTAATTGCTATGTATTTCCTGGAACTCAAACTTTCCCAACAGCATTTAGCCATGTTTAAATAGCACGTATTTGTTTTGAGGTAGATATTTAACACATGTGCAGCTGTAAGACATGGGATCATCTTAAAATGACTAGTTTGCCTTCATGTTTCTGTAGCTACACATTATGATTACACCGGTAAATAGACGGAACCGATACTAGCTAGCCTGCAACAGGATGATGACACTGGAAAACAACACAAACTAATGGTGTTGATGGGCGATCAGACACATCGCCGAGCCACGCGCACTTTAGCAACAATTCCCTAATAGTTTGTCAACATAATTTTGAATACTTACATGATCTGAGTTGCTGTTGGCGCTGTGATAACACACAGAACTAAAAGTATAACCTGAAATGGATGCCGCCATGATGGAAACATCCCGATCAATCCTGATGCCCCCCCCCCCCTGCGTTTCCAAGCACGCTCCTCAAGCGCAATGTCTTCTGGGAACTGTAGTTCTGCGACGACGTCTTGCCAGCCACCATGGAAGTCGCTGCAGAAAGCGTGGAGGTGAAACGTGGAAATATATCGGACCAAGAGGACGACAGCGGCTCAGATACCGATTTTGAACCTTCAAAACTCGGAACGAAAGAATAGTAAGCTCGGTAGCGTTAACGGTAGTGTTGTGATCCGTTATTAACGTTAATTTATGATCATGGTGGTTGGTTGTTGTTGCTATTCTCCACAGCTAGCGACAGAGCTATCGGTTAATACAGTTAATATGAAATATTTGTATATGTTAAACTTCAATCAACAATTGATATGAACTTGAATCAAGCTACTTACGTTTATTTGTTGCACCACACTTTACCATGTTGCTAATGTAGCAGCGTGTCATCTGTGCTCATAGTGTTTCTATAACTAATTCTCAGTGTCTTTTTTTCTGCAGTTGGGAAGATGCATACCAGAAAGAACTGGAGACATTCGCAGACATTGGGGATGTTGGTGAGATATGGTAATCATATTCACAGTATTGCAATGCTGTCATGTCCATAGCCAGAATTAACCCACTGGATATTACAGTATTAGTATCAGTGTTGTCAAAACGTAATGATTCATAATAAGATGTGTTTATTGCAGTGTTATTGTCTCATTAATAAGGTCTGTGTTTCCATCATCTTGTAAGGTTTGGTGAGGAAAGCATGAGCCGTGTGCTGCGATGGATGGACAAAGCTAAGATCCCAGCAGACGCTGCCATTCTTGACATTGGCACTGGAAATGGAGCCTTTTTAGTTGAACTGGTGTGAACAGAGTACATTTTGACATTATTATGATTTTTAATTCGCAGGCTTTGTTTGGTTGTTTTTAAAGGGTCACTTCACCAAAATCACAACCGATCATTAAAGCAACATCTGTGGATTTTCCAGGGTAACAGGGATATTGTTAATGGATGCTCACATTTTTTGTTCGATTTTTCAACGCTTAGAAACCAACAATCCGAATGCCTTCCATCTCCAATGTATTGGGATGATGATTGAAGACTCAGCAATCTCAAAACTCAGCCAAATATATTCAGCATGACTAAAACCTCTACGGGTTTAATGGAAAATATGTTTGTTATTTAGGTGATCTGGGTCTTTAATTGAGAGTTTGTAAAGACGGCTAGCTTTACTTTGATGAACTTTCCTTGAACTTTTCTAAGACAGTTGATAAGCTTAGCTCCTTTTTGTGTGTGTGTGTGTGTCAAGGCTAAACACGGATGCAGGACTCTGACCGGGATAGATTATTCTCCAGCGTCTGTAGAATTGGCCCGAAACGTTCTGCAGGCGGAGGACTTGACGGATGTCACTGTAAAGGTCGGTTCGCTTTTGTTTGTCATTAAAACTAAAACATTACTTCTCAGTTAATTAACTGACTTACACAAGTATCACAACACATGTAGCTGCTACAGGATATTGAATGATATCATTCACATTTTGAATTGATCACGGGTGTACTGTGTGAGTACTTGTAGTGCCAGGAGAACAGCATGAATCAACATTTTCTGCAAAATTTAAAATTCACTCCACTTGAGCGCTGCAGTGTAATATTTTAGTGAACTTGGTGGATCTTATGCCATGCACAAATCTGCCATTGACACAAAATGAATCCCCTCTATTCCTAAATGCCAATAATACAACATAGCTTTCAGCATACTGTCAGCCAGCCTGGGAAGGCCAGAGGAAAATCTCCTGTGTTTACTATGTGGGATAGTTGGACGTGAAGACGGCCCCCGAACGTGATGGAAGTCTGCCCACCATTCAGATTAAACCACCTGAAATGAATTGGCAGGATTTAACACATTTTCTGACATATATATATATATATATACAAGAAAAACAAATTATAAATAAGGGATGTGATGAGTGAGCTTTTCTCTCCTGTGTGCAAAGTACAGTTGCATATATGTTATATGCATCACACGCCTGTGACTGTATGCTTTGCTTGGACAGAAAGCCTTCTACTGAAGTCAATATTGACCGTAGCTGGACAGGGGGAGCACAGTGGTTGTGTGTGTGTGTGTGTGTGTGTGTGTGTGTGTGTGTGTGTGTGTGTATGTGAGAGAGAGAGAGAGAGAGAGAGAAATATTATGTTGGTATTTCTTTAACGCTGCAGATTGCCAAAATAATTAGTGTGGATGTGCTTGTGTAGCCTTGAATGGAGTGTGAGGAGTTTGAGCCACATGGTAAAGGATAAAAATGCTTCTTCGACGGGTCTTACCTTAAAGGTCATTATGTCAAGCCCTTTAGTCATTATGTCATTTTTATACATTCTTTTAACATCATCTCAGTTTCTTTCACACTTAAATTTAACGCTGATCAGTTGCAAGAATATGGAGGCATTTTTTCTCTCAACTGAATCTCTTGATCGTCATAGATCACGCATTCTGTGACCCGTGGTTTGTGAGTATGTGGCTCTTGAGCTCTCCCCAGAGGTCTGGTGTTCTGCCCTTGGTTCTAATAAAGGGCTCCTTTCACCGCTGGTATGGTAGGTCAGCAACCTCTGCAGAATTAACGGCTGTCATGTCGGCAGTTGGGAGTTTAGTGTTATAGTTAAACAGTGAGAGGTATAACTCGTTTTTTCTTGGTTGATGCTGAAAGATATCTTCTCCAGGTGACTATATTTTTTACCCCACATCTAAAGAGTCAGACTAAGCATAAGGCGTCATATTTGCTGTAAGGTTGCTCACAGACATTTCCTTAACTGCTGACTTTTTGTGTGTGTGTTTTAGGAGATGGATTTCTTAAACTGCCACGGTGAGCTCAAAGGTTTTGATGTCTGCATCGACAAAGGCACATTCGATGCAATAAGCTTGAACCCGGACAGCTCTAAGGACAACAAAAAACTGTATCTCCAAGTTCTGAAAGATGCTCTCAAGGACAAAGGATTCTTCACTATCACTTCCTGCAACTGGACAAAAGAGCAGCTGCTGGACCGATTCAGTGAAGGTAAGGGGAAACACTTGAATTGTTTATTGTATGTGTGATCGTTTATTTTTTAAATATTCTGTTGAATCTTGTTAATTTCTTTGTGAGAGTGCTGCATAGGACTATCCCACCGTCATACAAGGTAGATTGACTCTCCACAAACCAACTCAATTAGACGCGTAATTCAGAATTGGTCCATGAAGCAAATTTTTACGTCACTGATTTAAGAAGCCTTACAATCTGGTTAGCTACTTGGTAGTTGTTGCCAAATAAATAGCTGCCTGGAGATGAAAATGCATTAAAAATCTAAAAATGTATATAACAGGTTTGCTCATCATATTAAAGGTTCCCCAAGGAGTTTTTGACCTCTCGTAGCTCTCTGAAGTGTTTTTTCTATGAGTGGGTCCTCATTTTCTTTATCTCATGCATGTGCATGAGGACGCACATGTCACCTGCATCCGGGTGGAGAACTACACAGTCCTGCCAATGGTTTCACACTGTTTCACTGATCTACAGGTGCTGGTAACACGCCAAGATATTCAGCAATACTTGTTTTGTTTTATACATGAAATACATTTGACATGTTTGTTAGAGCTCAAGGATATACACAATGGGTTTTGGTGAGACTGGATGTAAACATAACTTGTATTGGTTTACAAGATGACTCCACAGGGCACCTTTTTAAGTGGATATGTGCAGTGGTGTGAATGTGTTCTGACGATGGGAAAACAGTTTTGTTGTGGGACCCACAGTCAAAGCACAGACACAGTTTGCTGGCACCTTGTTAAACTTCAGGCAACAACAAGCCTTGTAAAGTCAGAATCCCGGCAAGCTTCCATTAGCTGTCACTCTTCTAAGTGTAGTCACTCTGGAGAGCCTGCAGGGGGCCGAAGGGCTTTGAGGTCTCATCTGTCACACTGACAGGCCTCTCTTTACAAGGCCCCGGGAAGCGCCACAGATGGTGGATGGATAGTTCTTGACTCAGAGTTCTTCTCCTAACCCTCTGTAGCCACAAGTCAACAAGAAAAGCTTCCGGGTATCTTGTGTTTAAGACGACAATGTTGATGTTCTATTATCTTAACCTGCACATTTTCTCTGTGTTGCCTCACAGGATTTGAGTTTGTAGAGGAGTTGCCTACACCAAGCTTCCAATTTGGAGGCAAGAAGGGCAACAGTGTGACAGCCCTCATCTTCAAGCGAATACATTGACTCACATGTGCCCAGAGGATACTTTTTCTGTGTTATCAATTTTATTTTTTTTCTTGTTAATCACAGGAAATCATAATTACTGTACATAATATTTTATAACACTTGATTCACTTCTAAATTGTGTAATGACAGTGTAACTGAGTGGAATTCTCTTGAAATAAATATAGTTTTGGTTTTGTTGCTGTCGTATTATTTTTGCCTTGATCCATCTGTCACATTTGTATGAAATTGTTCAGTAATATTTGATACTGTTACGCAGAAAATGAAGATGTACAATTGAATAATAGTTCTCTCTGACCCTTGATGTAATGTAGGTTCCTCCATGTCTTGTGGCACTTTCAAATGTGAACTCACCCTCGTGCACCCACTGACACTTTTTTGACTAACGTTGCTTTTCTGAGGCCACTTGTAGAAATAGTTCAGCCACACGATTATTCAGTCTCTGTTTGATTTTTAGCCTAAAGGCTAAAACGTGTTCTGTATTCATTTTACGAAAAGGGCTAGAAGAGAAAGAGGATATTCACAATACTTTGCACTGAACATTTCTTTCCATTCCATAAATCATCTTATAGCCCCTCAAATTACTTTGCAGTTGAGAGTCCTGACCCGCAGTTTGAACACCACTGTTCTGTCTCACTAAATAATGAATTGCATCCATCTTTCATGTCATGTGAAAAGAAGCCTGTACCTAATTGGCTCAACTGGAAGCCAGCAGAGCTTGGGGTCCAGAGGACCATGATCAAGAACTTCTGACATAATGAATATGTGCCGTGCCTTCTGTGCAAGAGAAGCCTGTCTGCCATTTACTTCCTTAATGACATCGTTAATAACTGTCAAACTCCGGACTCTAATTGCAAGCTGGGCCAGTGGTCCAATGGGACCGTCGATGTTGAGTAAACGCATTCAAGCTTTACAAGATTTGCTGCCTGGAATTTAACAAGGCCCTGGATGTGCATATTATGCCCACATTTTCCCATGAAGTGAAACCTTCATTAAATATCTCCTTTACCTTTGTCAACATTCATACTCACCTAAACAAAACATATGGTTAGACAGATCTTTGAGTGTTTTCTTATTGTGTAATTACATTTTAATAAGTACTGGAGCTACAGTACCTCTTTGAATATACTGCAGCCTACTCATTTCCCTTGTACAGGTGCAGTTGCTAAGAAACAGACTACACCGCAAACCTGTTTTCCAAAACAAAGTCATGGGTTTTTCCATGAAAACATTATTCCTAACAGTGGATTGCTCTTGAATTAAAATCAGGATTATTCACATACATTGAGTTTATACCTTTGCATTTTGCTGCATAAAAACATAGTAAGAAAAGAGAAATAAACAAGTACTGCATGTAAATAATCTTAAATAGTATACATACAATATATCTGCAACAGTAATTAAGGATCATTCTGACAAATCCATACTTGTCTTTGTAAAAAAAACAACTTAAGATCTTGCTGGGCTGAAGTGAGCTGTGCAGTACATTTACCACCGTCAGCACTTTCATGGCTTTTGGGTTGGCACACACGTCTGAAGCTCCGCTTTTATTCCACTCATAATAAGAACATATGGGCTTTTAGATGTGATGCCATAACCCACTGGCTGCCCTACCAGCGTGAATGCCATGCTTTCATTTTAACCTCTCAAGTGTGATACTGCAAATATTTATGTTTGTTCTCACTCCATTTCCCTGGAAACACGCTTGAAGTGATCCTAACAGGATGTCTGTGGATTGATTTGAATTACTCCACCATGTAACGTTAGCGGTGAAGTTTTCCATCGCAGGAAAGCCAGACGTGGGAAAGATTCCTCTTTCAAAGCACTTAAACCTTTTCACGCTCTTCTTTTTTGCGTAATGTCTACCGTGACTACACCAGAGCATGATTGAGTCCCGTGAGACCTCAACGTTCATTTTTTTAAATCGATTTTTTAATAACTTTTTCTGGGTTATTGCTTAGGCTGGTTACGACTAGACGTGAACGACCAAGAGGCATAATAGCAACTTTTGGTTGGTTGATTAGTGCAATTCTAGCTTTCTTTATATAACTGGAAAGTTATCGCCTATTTGCTTGATAGACATCAATGAAAATCATAATAATAGAAAGTAGCACACGAGTATTGTAAATGCCTCAGGGAGGACCGCGGAACATACCAACTCGGAAGGTGTGGGGGTGTCTGTTTTAAATAAAGCTTTGAGCTGAGTGTTAGAAAGCCCTTAAAATAGTTGTTGTTTTCGATTACTAATTACACCGTAATGATTAAACTGTACAGTAACCCAATACTCCTGTTGCTGTACAAGTTTCTTAGTCGACAACGACTCTTCCGCCCCCCCCGCCCACATGGTTCGTCTGTACACGCATATTGTTACAAATCAATGTTAAAGGCTTGAAAGCAGCAGCGAGCCTCCAGCTGCTCGCAGTCCGGCTCAGTCCTGCGCTGGCTACTCTGAACGGGCGGCTGCAACTGCGACAAAAAAAAACTTTTGTGACTTTTCCTGCTTTGGCTTTTGCTGAAGATGACCTAACATCGACAGAGCCTCTGCTGGTCAGGTAATAGGGGATTTGTCCAGATACGTGATCGTTATAACTGTGTTGAGGCGTGCATCACCGTGTTTCTTTCACCGCTGTGGAGTTCACTGTGGCCGCTCATGCTGGGTTTTGCTGTGCGACTCAAAACGTTAGATGACAAACATTGTTGGGTTACTCTGGGCCATAAATCAGCAAGCAGGAATGTCTTTGTTTTCGTTGAATTATTCCATTTAATAAGTCTCTGTCTGCTAGTTTAGGCACAGTGCAGTTCGTGGCAAGTAGCACTCTTTGTGGATGTCACGCTATTGCCTCCAGCTCATGTATTACAACGTTTTCTGGACATAATTCGCTGTTTTGGAGTTTACAACTGAGTCTCACTTTGCTCGACCAGCTTGACCAACCTGTTGCTGCATTAGTGGGTTGCACAAAGCTCTGTGAGCCAGCAACCCCCCCCCCCCCCCCATATCTATCAACCATGGTAATAAAGCCCAGGCTGGTGTTAAATACAGTACCTGTGTAGGTGGAGAGAGGCCAGTGTGGTCGCTTTGCAGCTCATATTGACATATGGCTCCTTACCACAACCTGCATGAGTGTTTTGAGTCATAAGGCTTGGTTGCATATCTCTCACCAATCTCCACCACGCATTTACATTTTTTTTTTACTCCTTTGTGATCTGTAATTACTAATTTCCCTGCTTTTCTGAGCATATATCAGAAGTATTGAAGGTTAAAACTATGAGCCACTTTGTTCCTCAATTTCAGTTCTGTTTTCAGAGCAGAGATAAAAAAAAAAAGAAGGCTGCATCCTTGGAGTCAATCAAAATATACATTGTGTTTATAGTCCATTGTTATGACTACGTGAGTCATACACACTGAATTTATGCTATTACACATTTATGCAACTGAAACCAAGCTTACACATGTTGATGAGATACTGATAAAAACATAAAGAGTAAAGTCAATTGTCTTTTTATATCTATATGAGTGGATGTGTTAGTAGCTACGTGTCTTAATCACAGCAGAGAGTTCAAACTGCTTTATTGGCTTCTTAGTTCAAAATGAAAGGCACTCTGATTATGGAGCGCCATTGCAGCAGAGCACGAAACTTCTGATTTGTCAGTGTTTCCTTTCCTTTGTGGGTTAGGAAGTAACTGTCGGTGCTTATGTTTACCCTCTCTAATATCGCACGGCAGTTGGTTGATCTTTGTGGACACCATCAACACAATTCCACAAAGAACTGGTTTTGTACCAGGGTACCTTAATTGAAAATACCTGGAAATGTTTCTGGCTGCCACCATGGCAGCGGTTGTCCTTGACTGGCAGGCGATGGCTGGCTAGTTTGGTTGACTAAACAGGAATTCCATTGCTGTAGTTTTCTCAAGAATCCGGCTCAAAGGTGTATGTTAAGTTCATGTCGGAAGTGAAGAAGAGAGCTGGCTTTACGGTGGGATCACATTTCAGCTCTAGTGTCTAATTACACAGGGGATGTTGACAAATGCCTCACAAATACAGGTTAGGAGGATCAGAGGAGTATTTCTGATCTGCCTTTCCAGTTTCTGGAAGATTATGATGACCACACCTGGCTTTGATTTAAAAAAATAAACCACTGCTGGAATGTTACAGCTTGGTGTGTTTCAAATCCTATCGTGTGAACCTACTAATGTGTAGCTGTTGATTTTATCTGACAAGGGATGGGCTGCAAATGTTCGATATTGTTGCCAATATCTGAGTTTCGTAAAAATAAATGTAATACCTCACTTTGGCAATATACAAAAATCTGTTTTCTACAAAACCCCTTTTATTGAATAAAATGTGCCAAATGCATTATGCATATTTATGTAATACTGGCATAAACTACCAGTACTACTAATACTTTGAGTAAATACAGATGGAAATGAGCAAAACTATTATTTGAATCTGGAAACATATGGTGACTGACTATGTCAAAATCAAACATTCAATGGCCTTGTTATGGAAACATTTGGTCTCGTTCAATAGAGGTTTGAAACCAAGCCCAATATCTGACTAAACAGGAAGTAACACATTCTCATCACAGTTGCTGGTAATCAGTTTTTGCTTTACATGTTTTAAGTGAAGCCCAACATTTCATGCACTGCAATTGTACTCTGCAACAGCTCTGGCATTGTTAGTCTGTAGACTTGTTTTGGACATGCTATAGACATAATTTATGGAAGCAATTAAGGCCGGTGGTTTTTTTTTAAAGGGGATCGCTCTGCACTCCAGTGTGTGCTCAAGACGCGCACATTTGCAACGTCTTTGTGTTGCAGGCAAAAGGCCCTATTAGAGCTCCATTCTGTCTGTGGGCAGCTGTGTGCTGAGCGAGCCACTGGTCCATTCTCCCTCTGTGTGTACAACTCTCCCTCAGTCTACACACTGACACTTCCACTCTGTCAGTTTCTCTCTGTTTGACTTTCTCTGTATTTCATTTTCACTTTTTGCCAGTTGCCAGAAAAGGTGAAGCAGAAAACATTTCTGTTCTGCTAATACTGTGGCTCTCTTTCGTTCCCTTGTTCTCCGACCCAAGGCATTATGCAAAGCTAACAGAAAAGAATTGTTAGCCATGCCTGTCTGTGCCTCCATGCTACTTTCCATTCATTTGAGAAGCTTCCCTTTCTTCTCTGCGATCTGCAATCATAACCGCTCCTGCTTCATAAGTCTTGGCTTCAGGGAGTTAAAAAAACAAATACTTTATTATTGCATGTTGTCAGAATACTTGTTATTCTTCATTTTGTATATTCCTTCCTCACGATGGATTTGTAAGTCTGGCGTCTCAACGCCCACAGAGCCTACGACCTGCAGCTGAAAAGAAAAGAAAGAGGCATTCTCACGTACACCAGAGAAGCACTCCCCCAACCCCCCAAGACAGGCACCACTCTCTACTTAGAGATGAAAAGCATTCTGGGATGAAATAGGAAGGCTCCCATCAACACAATCCACAGTGGTTTTCCTATGTGGCGATAGTAAGGAATCATCTTAAGTTTAAAAAAGAAAAGTTGTCTCTGCTGTTGCTTTTTGACTCTGAAATGAGTGATTTTATACCCTCTGGGTCTTATTTCTGTCTGCATGTCCGTTTATTTTCCTGAGCTGCTTTGGATTGGCCTCTCCTCAAAATGTCAGCCATCACTTAGCTCCCGACTGAATCATGTTTATGTGGAGGTTAGCTTTTCTGTAGATCCAGTCTGGCGAAACAATCCCTAGAATAAAGAGAATTGAAAGTTTCGGTTAGTGTTTGGCACAGGCACCCTGTATTTCTAGTAGTCCTTTTACAGTCCTGTACAAGGAAGTTCATACAGTTAACTTCAATCATACAAGCCTGACACTTGTGTCCTTCCAAAGTAGATTTTTGTGCAAGCCTAGGCTTGAGAACAGAGCCAATGTGTCATGAAAATCTTGCTTGCACAAAGAAGGCCAATTATCATGGCGACATTGTCATAACGCTCAGCTCTCAGGCTCTGCGGTGTATTCTAATTGGTTCTCAGTAGTTTTACCTACACCTGCATATGATTCCCCAAGGACTGCTCCAGGCTGAACACCAGCAAGATTTACAACCAATTACCTTGCTGCAGAATGTCAAGATGTAGGATGGTGCAGATGAAGATCAAACATAAGTGTTGCAATAGAAAAGTTTAAGCCAATCATTAGTTGTCTGTTATTGAGCAAAATGTCACTTCTATTCTAACTCATAACCCAGTAAAAGTAAAAAAAAAAACTACTTTCTTGTTTCCCGTCATATGGACCTCATCAGTGCACAGTGAGGATGTAACAATTCAATGCAAGTCTTTCATCAAAAATTAGATCCAGTCACACATTCTGCTCACAGTTTGATTTGATATGATTTGATAAATTAAATCATTCCCATGAGTATAAGAGCTCTATAAAAGTTAAAACAAAACCGATAAATCATCACATGTTAAAACATGTGTTTGCTTTCCACACCTTCTTGACAACACTTGTTCTTTTTGTTCAGCCCTGCAGAATGGAGAGCTCAAAAACATTTTTATTTAACACGATTTCTTTGCAGTGTAAACAGCTAAAAACACCCCAAATGACACACTTTCAGTTGGCTTTCAAATATTGAACCGATGCAGCCGTTTTACACCACTACTACACCCCATGCAGATCATTCACAGGGTCCATATGTCGAGCTGAGCCCCCTCATGAATGAATGAATGGACCGGTGGAATGCTGCTCATAGATTTTTTTTTTTAATCCCAACCGTTGCACACTTTCAACCCGCCCATAATACACCTCCGCAACGTGAGCATGATAGTACGTAACACCGGTTATGTGGCTTTATTAGTTGATTGGTAGTGACAATCTGTACAGCATCACTTTCTTACACAACATAGGAATGGTCACCCTTAGAAAGCTGATCAGTTGCAGGGGGATTGCTAGCAGCGCTGGAGGCTCCCATGTAATGTATCCCTGATGGATTAGGGCTCTGCTTAGTGTGCACAGAACAGAACAGGCACTCATGGATAATGGAAGGAACCACAGGCGGAAAGGCTGGGATTGATGGGGGGGAGGGTGGGGTGGGGTGGGGGTTAGTGTAATTAGTGGGGTACCTGATGTATGGAGAGTCGTGGCATGCGAGGGTCACTCCAGGGGGCAAGAGGCCCCCATACCTCCCTTTACTCAAACTGAAACACCTGATCCTACGCCTGTCAAGCTTCTTAAGATTTCAGTTAACTATAGTTCTGGTCTGAAACACGGGGGTCGACCCCGAATAAGTTTCAGGCTGCCTAAATAGAGAAGCTGTGTTGTGTTTTGCAGGTTGCGTATCACCGTGCTGCAGCTTAGTAAACAGGCCTTGCTCAATAGTCCTGCCTCCTATAACAAACACACTCGCTAATAAAGAAATGATGAGTCGTTCAGATGTTGCTCTACTGTCTGTGTGGTGTCTGCCTTACTCACATCACCAGTTGCCACTGTTGTCATCTGTTGTGTACTTGGTTGCTATGGCTACCTATTAAATTCACAGAAACAGTGTACTACATACCAACTGTTTTATGACAGAAGTCCGAGAGACACTATCCCCCAAAAATATCTGTGAAATCTTGATTCTACTACACCACAATAGTAGATATGTTTAAGTTAGCCTTACCTTAAAGCTGTCACATACGAGTAAACCTATTGGGGGGCGATCCAAGTCACTACTTATTTTATGATGCAGCTTACCAAATGTGAAATTATGTTGGGATGTAATGTTTGTTGTTGTTTATGTGAACTCAACTCTGTCAGCGTGCTTGGTGGATATGACTTGTGTTTGTCTCTCTTCATGTATTTGGTAATAAAGTCAGTGCGTTCCACACCCAAATCAGCAGCGGCATGTGACCACAAGGGAAGCACAGCCCCTATACTGCAAGGGGAAGTGTGCTTGAATATTTGTTTGTTTGTACTAGTGTGTCTTCTTGCTAACTTAACTTAACTGGACTTTCAGGTTGAGTTCTTTTGAGCATCTGCATCTGTTTTCATTGCAGAGTTGTTATTATCGGTAGCCTCTCCTGTTTCAAAGTAACGGTGAGGCGAATTCTTCTTTTAAATTGCTAACAGGAACTTTAAGTGCCAGTTGTATTTACGCAGAGGTTGATGATCTCTGTCGTTGGAGGAGCGATCAGGGGAATCTGCAACAGGAGTCCAGAACCTGACTACTGACAACGCATAAAGATTGACTGAATGAGCTCTTCCTTGTTTATGCACTTCTGAGGATCTAGCGGTGTCGTGGCGTGTTGTTTTTGGCTCGTGTTTCCGTGCCACTGGGTACTCGGGTGATGGCCAGAGGATTCAGCGGTATGTCTTGACCTCCCTAGGACCATTTTTACGACCCCTCTCATTATATGAGAGAGGGGTGGCTGTGTGTTTGCCATGAATTAACAATCCACACTGCAGACCTTTCACAAAAGAATGGCTCTCGCTTTTATTCGGACCAGACTACAAAAAACCTGACTTGTGCAAAACTTTTCTTTTTGATGTTTTAATTATGGTTCCCATGGCCATATCCACTACGCAAAACAAATACCGACGTCCAGCGCCTTGCACCATAAAATGTGTTCTAGCGATGCAAGACTGAATAGAGAAAACTGTTCAAATTTGGACATTTGACCTTTTTGAAAATAAGAATCTGACATCCACACGGTGCTTCACTTGTATCGCACATGCAGTGTAATGTTGGTTCGGTCCTCGTCGTTTCATTAATATGAAATTAGTGGGTTTCTTTCAGCCGCAGCCACCGATCAAAGTCTTGACACCAGACGCGCTCTGCACAAGTATGCAGTAACCAGAGCCAATTGGTGATGGACACCAAACACCCCGTCAGAGAACTTTAGGGGGCCCCAGATAGGCTTCTATTCATCTGCCTGTACAAATCACCGCCTGGGCAAAGAGCCATATTATCTTAGCTGCCCTTTCTAGTGCCCTCCTGAGTCACTGGCTATTGTGAGCCAAGAGCTGCTGTCTGCACCCCAGAGTGCACAAGTCTGACTTGAATTACCATTAGATTTTAGTCCACTATGGATGTCAAATTTAGTTAAATGAACTTAGAATGTTTTATAGGCCCAAACAATATCATAGTTTCCATTTAGGGTAGAGGGTTGTCTTCAGTTTAGTGCTAGTATCCAATGTGAAATGACAACATAACATCTCAGGAGACATTTGTTTAAAACAGGCGTTATTGCACTAGTATGTATGATAGATAGATGAGTACGTCTTACACCAGATCATGAATTTCTTGGCTGCCATTGATCTTTACTGCATATTTTTTCAAACTGCAAAAACATGGTAGTTGAATTGCTCCTGAAAATGTCACATTTCTTGTAATTAAACTAACCCGAAGGGAGAAGTTGCACGTCCAGCTGCAGGATCGTGCATCATTTGATATCTACAATGCCTTGTTTAAATGATTGTGTTCGATAAGGGAGTACTTGTAGGCGAGGAGGTGTCCTGCAAACTGTTCTCATCCTGGATTTTCTTTAGTATGACGGCAACCGTGAGATGTAGCCAACAGGACGACTCACTTTAAGTAGTGAAAATCTGATCTGATCAGTAGACGCTGCACACAAATGCACTGCAGTTCTCTCTCCATTAAGCTCTGGTTTCCCCATCATGAGGAGTCGGTTCATTAAGTAAGCATGGCTCCAGGGTGGAATTCACACTCGGTCTGCCCTCTCCCATGACCCCACTTGCCAGTCACTACACATGCACACCAGTGCAGGACAGCATAGACCCACACGCATGTACAGACGCACATACTCGTTCTCACTGTCGAGGTGCTTTTTGAGCCCTGGTGGAACACGTCTCACTTCGGTCAAACTGCACTCTGTAACAACCTTTACACATGGCCGTCATGCTCCTCAACTCCCACTCTGTCTAACAACCACGCTCGCACAAACCTTGCTACACTACCGCGCCCCTTACTCGGTGTCAGTCCCAATCAGTAAAGCAATCTGCAAAACTGATCAAGAAGAACTTTCCCCTCTCCTCTTGACTCCCACCACCAACAACACCAGCCACTCTTGCCTGCGGAGGCCCAGTTGTGCTCCACTGACTCTCCGGGATAAATGGAGATAATGGGAGTCATATGCTAGCAGTTGGTTTGGGGCAGGCCTAAGTGAAACATTTATAGTCCTCATGTAGTCATGGGGCTGGAGAAGAGGGAAGGGATAGAGATGACACAGTAAAGTAACAAAACATGACTAGACTAGTTCAACATTTCTTTATCAAACCACCTGCCCATCTTTTTCTTTTATGATGGGTCCCTTTTTTAGTTTGCACAAGTTTCTGTCCCACAAAACTAATTTAACAGCAAGTGCACACTTGCACCCTTCTATCTAATGCGTGTTATAAAAGTGCAACCACCCTTGCTTAACATGAAACCACATGTTACACGGGCAGGATAACATAGTCGGCCTGGAACATCCATTAGCTTCATGTGTTGCCCCACAGCAGAAAGCTGTCATTAGTCAGGAGTTGATTGGGAGTAGGATCTGACCCACGCCGGTACTCTCTAATTGGATGCTGTCAGTGTGTTTGGTGGTTGGCTAATGACTGGGAGAAGCTCAAGGCCAAGGTCACTGCAGCTATTCCTCCTTTTTTTTTATTGTGATAAAGAAAGCGTAACTGGACCTTCCCGTCATTTACCCAGATCTTTCCAATGCGCCAAGCAACATCAGAGAGACTGAGTGGAGCAGACATGACAAGGCATGTTGAGCATATGGACCATCTGCTTTACATATAACTCCCTCCAAGTGTTTTAAGAGTTTGTGTTTACTGCCACAACTACTGTCTGTGCTTTACACAGACAGTAGTAGTTTTCTGCGTGGTGCAGGCAGTCGATGAGGCAACTGCAGCCCCATATATGTTCCTTCTCTATCCATACTTCTTAGCCACATCTGTAGTCATGTGCTGTGAGTGATTCCTTTTCCCTGATTAGCTAAACTTTGCTCTCTGTTACAGCATGTTTAGATTTCCATATGTTGTGTGGATTACGTTGACAAGCCAAATGTCCCATTATTTACGGGGTTAAGGAAACTATTTCACATATGGCAGCATGTTTTGTTTGACAAAGACGGTAGTTTTATAGGCGTGTAGCTATATGGAGAACTGGGTGGTTAAGTTGCTATAAGTGTTCGGGTGGTGAAAATGCTGAATGGAAAAACACATGTCAGCACTCCCTTTTCTCAACTATGTCAGCAGTGAAATTTTGCACAAAGTGGTTAAATTACCTAGTTTAAAATGCCTGCTCCGAATCTGTGAATGAAGCACAAACAAAGCATTTAAAAGGAGCTGTTATTTGTTGTGTTATCCATCCGGTCTTAGCACCATGCACAGTTCAAACAGCCAGGCACAGTAACTGCAGTTTGCATGTACTGGATGGTACATATTTATAGGAATTCTAATGAGCCTTGTATTAGATTGTTGTCTTCAGTAGATTTATGAAATAGAAATGTAAAAGTATTCATTTAGAATATGAACGCAACACTTAATTCAGGGGGCACATATTTTAGTTGGGAGGCTGGACTTGTCCCACTGGCTGCTATTTGCCTACCACTGCCTTAGGCTATGCTCAAACTTAAGCTGTTTTGTGATCAGACCAGATGGTGTTCTTTCTGTTGTGTCCGAGATATGAACCCAGCGTCAGTGTATTTACTTAGCTCATCTCTTTCCGTCTACACAGGGATCGGCTGAAGTGTGAGAGACGCCCTCCTACCTCCGCCACCGCCGCCATCAGCATTCGAGGGCTGCCTTGCAGATGGGAGGTCACCAACCGGTCGCCCGTTTCTCCCAAATGCACTATCTGCCCTCCGCCCTTGTCTAAGATGGCCGCCTGTGGCCTTCTCCTGAATCCGAACAGACTGGAGCAGAGCTGCGTGCTACCATGGTGATCATTTTCTTGAAAACACTGGAAAAGAAGAAGGCTGTCGATGATGTGAACTCCAACAACACCGAGAGACGGCTGGTGAGAGGAACTTAACCTTTTGAATTTCCCACAAAGCAAACCAGTTGTTGCAGTCCAAGGGCTGCAAGGTGTTTCACGTGTTAGGCATTAGTCAGCAAAGTGAATCGGTGATGTGATTATATTACATCGGTGCGTGACTACATGCCACAGATGACACATTTAGTCACGTATAATACTACTACTACTCGTTTGCACAATGCATGTAAACGTGCCAGAATGGTAAGTCTTTATCTTTAGTTGTCATTAATGTCACAGTGAAATGAAAACAAACTACTTTCTACAGCCACATGAGAAGTTCCATATCAGTTTCATTTTTTGATGTTCACCACCAAGAGGTCCAGGATGTGTTTAGCTTAGCTTAACACAAAGATTGCCGGCAGGAGGTAAAAGCTGGCCTCATGTAGCTCAGTCCAAATAAAAAAAGCATTCTAACAACTCAAAGCCATTTTGTACAGCTTCTATGTAACACGTGTTAAACAGAAAATGGATATCTTTGTTAAAAAGGAGTTAGCTTACACACTGTATTTTGCCACCGAACCCCCCTGTCCATCTCGCCCCATTTCACCCTCAATCGTGAACAAGACCCAGAGATACTCAAACTCTCTGGACTGGGGCAGTGACTCACTCCCAACCTGCAGGGTGCAATCCACCGTTCTCCGGCAGAGAACCATGGCATCATACCCGGAAGTAGTGATTCTCATTCTGCCCGCTTCACACTCTGCTGCAAACCAATCCGGCGCTTGCTGGAGTTTACCTTTTGATGGCACCAACAGACCCTGGCTTTAAACTAAATCAGTTAATACACAGTATAAAGGCTTTTGGAAAAGTTTCCATGAATGTTGACCATGTTAGCACAATAGCCTTTATTGTGGATTCTATGCCTTGTATCTTAGCAAACATTTTTTTGTTGTAGTGATGACCTCGAGGTGAGTCAGAGCAATGCATCGTGGCATTTCCCTTTTGTCCTTTGCACAGACAGCCACCACCCTGTTGTAAGAAGTGAACTGTGAGCAAGGATAGGTGTCTGATGAGAAGATAAGCGCGAGTAGACAAAACTTTGTAAAAAAATAACTAAAAAACTAGTGTGTATATAACAAGTGTGGTGTGAAGTTTTTTTATATGACTCTCTAAAGGGTAAAATTATCGTCCAGCATCATCGTTGTAAAAAAGTTCGAGTAAATTTTGAGCGAACTGTGAAACGAGTTTTTGAGTCTGGTCTTACAAGCTTAAAAGAATTGGTGAATGAAGACATATAAAGACATTTGGAGTCACGTTTCAAATAAATGTAAGTCAAAAACAGTCATTCCATTTATGTTAATATAAAGATATTGATTACTGCAACTACATGTAAAAATAAAGTATAGACTCATTAGAAAGTGATCCTCTCAATTATCACTTCTGACACACTTGAAGTAGAAGTCTGCAGAGACCCTGCCCTCTGCCTGTATTTTCATATTTCATCAACCTCTATGAAGACGTAGCACCCAGGTGCCAGATCATAAGAACGCATCCAAGTGGAAGCTACAAAAGCGATGGACACAGCGCTGGCAAAACGGCAAGCTCCGAACACTTGAACTGTGGTCAGGGGGCGTGCGCTTCTGTTCTCATTGAGCCGGGGAGGAGGGGCCAACTTTCAAAGTTGTTTTTACCAACAAATCCTACTCATTGTATCTTTTTAAGTAAATATACTTTGTCACGTTCCACCACTGGACCTACAGGGTTGCAGAGATTAAATCATTATTGATTTTCTCATTTGATCGTGGTATGATGGAAAACATGTTGCACGTTTTCCCCCAATGTTTTGATTTGTTTTTGTGTCTCCCTGACTGTCGGTCCCTCTGTTTGCCTGTCCTCCACAGTGTAAGCTCCACACCATGAGCAGAGGGACCACCCTCTTCTCCTGTGGAACTGTGGGTGGGTTATCTCAATTTATGTCTCTCTGTTTGTCTTTCCTTATTTGCAATGGCAATAAAAAAAAAAGTCCCATCTTTCTGTCCTCTGCATTCACTCAAGATCCGGACGCTGGGACAGTACTAATGGTTGAGGTGGGGTCCTTTGTCATAACATACTTTCCTGAATGTAATAGCATAATGGATTGCCCCTTTAACCCATTGTTAAATTGAACCATCAAAGTCAGCGACCCCCAACTATAACCGTCTCATTGTTAATCCACTCGGTCTCTCACTTCTCCCTTTCTCTGTCAGTCACTCATCCCCCTCTCATGATCAGGGTGCACCTGCGTCCACACAACGTTGCACACCACTCTCATGGGAGTGACTATAATTGAATATGCTGTTGCCTATGTCAACAATTTCCCTTTGGCTCCATCAGTGTCGCAGTAATTGCCCCCTGTGTTAAAAGACATGCTACTGTAAATTCAAGCCCCCGCTATCATGCCGCATGCTATGTGATGTTACAGGGAGGAGCATGGCTTACTGTTTCCACTGTTAATGTTGGGCATTCATTGTCTAGCATGTCTTGTTAGTTCAACCAACACTTTGTATCTTGCTTTCAAAGGATGGCCTTTTGAAGTTCATCCCTTTCTCCCTTTGTCAAGACATTCCTGTCAGGTCGTCACTGTAGCCCCCGTACATTGTTTGTCCGCCCAAAACAATGATTTCCGTCCACAAGTCTGTGAGAGAGCGTGCCAAAATTGGAGACAAGCATCCAAAAGGACGGGAATTTGGATCAGCAAGGGGCCCTTTTTGCCAAAAGCTTGAATAGATTCACAACATGACCACTTGGCTTCGTAGCTCAAGCCACTATGGCCCTTTACTGTAGGTGTATTATCTCCCACAACTGTGTGATAGACTCTTTTGTGCAGATGGGGAAATAGCTGGCAAGTCATGCTGCTTTCTGAAGCATATATTGCTAACCACTTGACTAGGGGGAGTGACTTGCCAACTGGTTCACTGGCTGATTCTTGTCGTAATATGTAGATCAAGTTTTTTTTTGAATCAACCGTCTTCAGGTCCAGGTTTTAGATAGTCAGGAGTGTAGATGACATTTTTTCTGTTAGGTACCTTAAAAACAGCAGCCATAACCTTTAGTGGAACGACTTTTTTTTGTACTTAGGAACAGACTTCATTGGTGATCTAGGATTTCTATCATAGTTTATTGTCTGTATCTATGAAAGTAATAGAGACAGGAACTTGATTCTAATGCTTGGCGCCAGAACAATTTACAGCTGAGCTTTTCTCTTCATGTCCTCCAGCTGTTTATGTGAAAAATAATCAAGACATGGCACACAGTGATCTTTTTGAGTTATGCTGTTGGCAACTCAACAATTCAGTATATCATAATTAGCACTTACTTAATAACATTGTAATTGTAATTAATAACATTTAAGTTCTTCAGACGTACAAAATATGAATGCTTGCTGTCAGCTTTCAGTAGTTACACAAGAGCTGTGTTTGAACTGTGCAGCGAGTCCCAATCCTGTCATTTACCATAGAGCAGATGACCGAAGAAAGATTATTTGTTCAGATGTATCACAGCTTTTCTGTGTTTAACTAGACTCAAATGACCCAACAGAAAGTGTGTTCAGCTTCTTCGCTACTGCAGTTACCAGACGATAATCTCCATCTTATCCTCACAGCAACCATTCCCTCTTGACTTAAGCTTGCTTCTGTTTGTTTGTGCCCTTGTGTCTGTGTGATTAAGTATCAAATGTTCCTTTCTTCAAGCTAGAATTCATCCTGCTGAGATCAACATATTGCAAGTTTAGGTTTTTATTACCGAATAAGATGACATACAAAGAGAGCTGTTATTGAGGTCCATGAGATTGAGTTTGTATGTTTTGAATATTGCAGAGGCAGATAGGTGGCTGGACCTGGGGCAAAGCTGTGCCATCCAGCAGAGAGCTCCCTGCCAGGCTGGTGCCAGTCTGGAGAGCCTCTGGGATGTGATGCCGGAGCCGGGGAGCTGGCACTGGTCCAAGGAGCCAGGCAGTGCCACGGCAATCACCAGTCTGATAAGAGATCTGAGCCTCGGCAACAGCGGCATGACCACCCTCCACTCCCCCACCACATCCACCACTGCTCACTACACCACTACAGCTACCAGCCAAGCTCCTACGGCACCCCCGAGCAAACGTCAGTGTCGCTCTCTGTCGTTCTCTGATGAATTTTGTGGGTTCCGCTCATCTTGGAGGCCCCAAGGCTCCCGAGTGTGGACAACGGTGGAGAAACGAAGGTGCCACAGCGGAGGAAGTGTTCGGGGAGGAGCGGGTTTCTCCAGTGGTCATCTTCCCACCATGCAGCGTAGCTCCAGCTTCAGTTTGCCCTCACGCTCCAGCGTACCCTCAGATGGTGCCATGGAGCTGCAATTCTTCAACCAGCAGCTGCCTCCCCACCCTCAATTCACTGCCTCTCCAGTCTCCCCTACCTCTCCTTCCTTACATCATCACCACTCCCTCCATCACCACTTCCTCAGGCCCCTCTCCCTCTCCCATGAGCAGATCAGCCTGCCAGAGCTTCAGAGGGAGGAGGCGTCGGAGGCCAGCTCTCCAGACTCCACCCCAGAATTGGGGAGGCGAGCCAGCCTGAGAGCCAGGGCCACGGGGTGTCTGTCCCGGAGCAAGTCCCAGCCCTGCGTGCTGAATGACAAAAAGATTGGTATGAAGCGCAGAAGACCAGAAGATGCCCAGGAGCAGCGGCCCTCCCTGGACCTAGCAAAGATGACTCAGGTTAGCTGGAAATTTCAAACACATGGTAACATGCACAGACAAGCACACACACTTACGTTCAGCTCAATGTGTGTTATTATAATTGACTCGCTTCACAAAGTTCAGTATCCTTTACATGCACTGATTACATCAACATAACATGTTCTTAAATCATAACATAAATCGGCATTAATATATTCTGTAATCTTGCTTTAATGCTGCAAAATGTCCTATTGCATTTAGTTACATCCTGGACCAAACACACTTACCACACAGACAAACACCTTTTTGTTCTGAGATCAAGGGGACGTTCAAGAGATCCTCAAACACAACTGGGCCTGTTTCTCTCTCTCTCTGAGTCTGATCAGAGAACTGGACTAAATCAAGCTGAATTAAGTTTTCTGGGTCGTCGGTCCGAAACTTCAGGGCTTAGTGATATCAGGCCTCCCTCACTTTAACTCGGGGAGTGGTGCTTACTGAAGAAGCATTCCTCATGTTCGGTCACGCTGCCTAGCGCCACGCTCTGGCAAGCCCGGCTCCGGTTTATCATTTCATTTACTCTGTTGGGTAAACAACCCGTCCGAAGGTTGGACCCCTCACCGTTCATTTGCTTCCTCTCTACTTCTACTTCTGCCCTGTATTCCCATCTTTCATTCCCAGTACTGCTTCTTTCCTTTGCCCTCTGTCTACTACCAGGCAGCTGGAGGAACCAAATGTCATTCATGATGGGGATATTTGGATGAGTTCTGAATTGCTTTCCCCAAAACAAGAGTTTGTTTGTTCTTCTGTAAGGTCAGAGGAAGCAGTGCAACAGCCAGAGGGTAAAAATGACCCCTGGACAAACCAAAACCTAAAATAGAAGTATTTTAATGACATGTGCTGTTTTGATGCTTGGCAGTGCTCTGATGTTTTTACAGAGCCCAGAAAGATCTCGATTCTTCACATCCTGCCTCATTATTCATTTGAATGCTCTTGAAATTCTACATAAAAGGTATAGCAACAACGGCGGGCATCAATACCAAATCCAGCCTGTACTCTCGTACGACACACTAAAATCTTCCTTCAACTTACCTCCTGTCTCGGAAATATGGTTCTTTTCCTGTTCTCCTAATAGAAAGTACCATCAATTTATCCCTCTACCCCTCCCTTCCTCTTCCCAAAGATTTCTGTTCCCAGCCAGTCACCCTCAGGACCTAGCCAGGGTTGGATCAACAAGGCTTTGGTAATGGAGCCTAGCGAGCATGTTTCCTCTCGTCATGCCAACTGCTAAGAGGGGAAAATCAGGCACGATGATCACAGCTGTATGCACAAATACACACACACACACACACACACGGAGTCAGTTTTACGGTAACGCCGGTCCCAGCAGTTCTCTGATGCAGGAGCAAACATTTGCAGATGACAGGCGTCGTATCTGTGCTGAGCAGTCAACAGGCAGAGCCATTGTTTCTCGCCCCAGACTTGAGTGATTGCGTGTACTTAGCACTGTTGAAATGAGTCGGGTTGTGCAGGTTAGATTCTTAATTTCCATATCTACTGCTACTGTGTTTACTTTCTCACTCTTGTGTATGCCTGAAGTGAGAAAAGTAAGCAGCAACACAGCAAATTCAGCACATTTATCTCACTTTCTTGTCTTTCTCTTCCTACGCTACTCAGACTTAACTTGATGTTAGCCTCCTTGACAATGACCAGTCCAGGTTAAAGGCTGCATGTACTGTGCCCGGGAAGCTAAACAAGCAGTGTTGTGCTATGTCACGTAAATGAAATAACCTGAAGCACCTGTTGAAGATGCTCATAGCTGTCATAGGTTAAAGAGGTGGTTTGTCTCAGTGATAGCTAAGGGAAAGCTCTAGTGCCTGGCAAACTGTCTGGAAAAGGAAGTGATAATGCGCAAACGCTGGGCTGGTTACAACCTGTGTCTGTTAACCTTCAGGGAACAGCTGAGATTTTAGCACCACATATGTGAATTTGTGGCTTTGCCTGTTTTTGTTTTTTTAATGGATTTGTACCTGCAGTTACTTGTCACATATCTGGCATTAGACTATTATTTCTTCAGCTGTTTTGGGGCAAACTGGATGTGTGAACTAACCACTGACAGTCCGTGTTATTTAAGTGACACGCTTTCTTCTTTTCCCCTGGCTACATACACACTTTCTCCCTTTCACTCCTTTCATCACAACACTCTCGAACTGAAAAGACATCCCACTCCTATGGAAGCATTGGACAGACTAAATGAAAAATGAAAATGGAATCTTGCATTCTCATTTACCACTTACTTGTTGGTAGCGAAAATGTAAATTGCATTATTGAATTTTGATTTAAATTTTGACCTGATTAATGCATATGTAATTGTGAAATCAAATGATATTCCGCCAAATGCTTCTATACTGTCTGCCCTCTCTTTGAGTGTACACTAAGAGTTATTACCTATCACACACTTGGCACCATACTTTATCCCTTTTATAGGTGTGTGTGTGTGTGTGTGTGGATGAGTAATACAGTCCATGTAAGAAAAACTAAAAACAGTAAAGTCTGTCACTTATCTCCCTATTGCAGAGATGTTTTTTTTCTTTCATTTGTTGGACCATTCAATGCAGAAGGTTGTCGTAAAGTCTGCCGCAGGTTGGGGTGGGGAGGTTAAGGATTGTGAGGGTCAACATATTACAAGTCCCCGAGTGTGTTGTCAGTGGAACATGGTGTAACTTGGCCTCTAGATTCTTCAACCACGTCAATGAAGGCGGGTGTGAATTGTGGGGATGCATGTCATGCTTATCGGCTATAGCTCGACTACCGTAGGGATTTCCGTGTGACCACCCCCAAAATTCCTTGAATATTCTCCCTGTCTGCCTGTTGTATCGGTTCATTCCTCTGTCCGCTGCCTTATTTTGATCCCAGACTGCCTATTCACCATGGCCCTTCGTTGTTGTTTCCTCTGCATAGTGGGTGTAGCGAGTTGTTATCTCTTGATTCTAGGTCACTTTGCTGAATGATGGTTGACGCAGCTCACACTTTGCTTTTGAGGAAATGGCCAATGTGAAATGCCTCGTTATACATTTTAAAGAAAAATTACAGGCCATCATTGGCTTAACTGTGTTAGCAGTATGGGTGGTAGACGGGGGCGTGTTGAGCCAATGCCTGGATGTGTGTGTGTGAGCGCGAGTGCTTGTGCATTCAGGAGAGAAATGGCAGGGTTTAGAAAGGGGGTATTATTTCTGCAGGGGAAGCTGGCAGACAAACTCTTCACCCTTTCTCTATTAATATCTTCTCCCTGGCCCAAGTTCAACCTGCTCTGCTCGCCTTTCTCCATCTTCCTCCATTCCTGGGATGGCACACATGGTGATCATAGCTGAGCGTCAAGCCCCGCAGGTATGAGAACACCTAGGTTGGCGTCTTGAGGTGCGGTGCTCGAGGTTGAAAAAACGACATGAAGTGACTTGTCCCAAAGGTGCTCTGTTAAGCATTGCCAAACGACAGTGTGCAGTCACCCCCGCTTGTTCAGCCTTTGATTCATCTCAACATATTTATCCTGTGTGTCTCATCTTACTTGGATGTATTTTCACCTTTCTGCCATACATTCTCTCTGAGGAACAAAGCAAAGGCAGACACAGACAGCAACACAGATAATTGATGCAAAGGTGTCCAAGTATGTAGTCTGTCTGTCTGTCAGGAATGAGTTAAGTTAATGTACTCATTATGAATCTGTAAATACAATGCCAGTACCCGCATGTTGTTGTTTATCTGTGTGTGTGTGTGTGTGCTTATTTGTGTGTGTATGTCTCAAGTTCACAACAGATCCTTTGCCAAAGTACTTAGCAGGGTGTTGTTAGTTGTTTGCCCTAATTATCAGGAGGATATTTGCCTAGCCTCTTGGCTTTTGCTTGTGCTTCTCCCACAGCAGCTGCCTTTCGATCCCCACGTTGTTTAAAATTTTGTTACAGTGGGAATTTTGGTTGTGTTGATTGTGGTTTAGAATAATGGAGGATGTCTACCAGAATATCAGTTGTGTACATAAGTGTTTTATTTCTTTACTTTTAATGATAAAAAAATGGAAAAGTGAGCTCGCTTTTAGAGAATAATCCAGTGTGAATGGAATAAAGTTGTAAACCTTAAGATTTTCAATATGTCATATTTCATTTTTGATATTATTTATTGCCAACAAAGCGACATCATGAATCTGCTCATAGTTTGTTTGGTAAACAGATACAAGACTTGCTGTGCGTTCCAATACCCATACTACCATAGTATTCTAGAAGAAGATTTAATATGTCCTAATACATAGTACGTTAAATGCAGTGTGTGTCCTCTAATGCATCCGGTCGCATTTTGCAGAATGCAAGCCAACAAATGACGAAGTAGTATGTCCAAATTGGATGCAAACTGCATGCAACAGTGTGTACTTTACCAGAACAGCTGCAGCATGTACTAAAAGTAAAAAGAAGTATTATGTGATTTGGGAGGTACTCTTGCTCTTCTTCTTTTGCACGTCTGGCGTGTTTGTTACCCCAGTGGTCGATATATGTGTCATACTATTAAAGCGCCATTGCCTGCTGAGCACTGCACTGAGTTTGGGCCCAATACTTCAACAATTGTACCAATTTTAAGGATTACAGCTTTAAAGGGCCAATTATTTTGTCAGAAACTAATGAGATTAATAAAGTAATTTACCCATCTGCTTGTTATGGCAGTGACTTATGTGAGATGCATCAGCATGAGGTTAGAGAGCCTAAATGTGCGTGGTTATGGTGAATATGGTGAGTGAGTGAGTGAGTGAGTCCATCTGGTTGGGGGTCTGCTCAAGTGAAAGGAAAGAACACACAGGCAAAGCTGGGTACACAGCAGAAATCTAACCCTGCTCCCCCAACACACCCACCCAAATCCCAGTCAACCTCAGTCGATTTTATAGAAAGCATATTGTGGAGAAGCTGCCTCTCCCCCTCCTTTCTCCCTTCCTCTCGTCTCCTCCTCTGCTGTGATAATTAGTAGTGGGGTAATACCGGGGGTTGAACAGAGAGAAAGAAATCCCCTTTTCCACTCCAGTGGGGTAACTACAGCAAAAGCCAAAAGGCCTCGCACTCCTCACATGAGCACCTTTAAGCATTTGCAGATGAGGTATCCTGCGGTTGAGCAGCTTACATGTAAAGTCAATCCAGCACAAGTGATCCAACCTTCAGACAGCCAAAATCCTGCGTTGTAGTTTTCTTTTGAACTGTGCTAAATCAGAGCAAGGAAAAGAGTGAGTCTACTGAAGTGAGACTTAAGAAAGGGAGACTCCCAGCTCATTGTACCAGGAAAAGCAATGTCCTAACACACTAAAGAACATTAGAGGTGTCCGTCATGTAAACCGAGGCTCTATAGAGAAAACCTCATCTCTATTCACCTCCATGCCTCCAACATCTGCTGCTGGGGCACTGCAGAGATCATTAACCCCTTCACTGCGCTGCACGGCTGCCTCTCTTTGTTGCACGGAGGAATTCAGGGTGGAAAGAGAGCACGAAAGACAACTTCTTAGTGAATTAAATCTCCCTAAGGTCAAGTGCGGAAACGCAGGCAGTTGTTCACATACAGATTCTCCCCGTCTGTCCATAGAGGGCAGAACTACAAAATATCAGAACCACAATACAAGTTTGGGTTCCCAGTATGTGTTTCACATTGGCTTCAGCTGTGATAAATAGGCATAAGTTTGAAACAAGATACCTTTTGTGGTTTGCAACTCATCTCAATGTTTTGTGTGTTTTTTTTTTTTCTGAAGCCAGAAGGTTTTGTGTATGTTCTTCGGCGGTTGTTTGTCTACTTGTGTGTTTGCGTGTTTACACGCTCGCATGCCGTCGATGAAAGGGAACGCCAGCTCTTGGCTGCCCACACTGAAACCCAATTTCAAACTGACATCCAGGAAAACCCTGAGCTTTTATAGCCTCATTAGAGTGAAGCCAGAATGTGAACATGAGCTGAGGAACACAAACAAACATGTATTTTCCCTCTTTGTCTCCTCTATACAGAAACTTCAGACTTTTCAGAGCTTGAGCTGCCCCGGATTCTCGGCCACCGACGGCTTCCAGTCAGGCCTGCCCCCTCCCACCTTCAACCAATCAGATTCGGACTTCTCTGCTGTGTCCGAGTTGGGACTGGAGTCACGGCAGGAAGTGGCAGGAGACGACGAGGAAGAGGATTCTTCCTTCGAGGAGCTGGATAGCGACTCGGCATGCAGCGTGGACTCGCGGCCCGGCTCTCCTGTAGGCATCGTGGGCGGTAAACGCACCCTCTGGAAGGGTGGGACACAGAGGGACATTTTCCAGCTGGGGGGAGAGCTCGATCTTGATCAGATTGAGAGAAACTGAACATTTTATAGGAGATTTAAAAAGAGTGAGTCTGGACTGTTGTGGAAAGTTACTGGACATTGATGATGTACCGAGAGATGGCTATTAGGAAGGGCTGTGAGTGGAGGAGTGGACATTGAAAGGCAAAGGAAAGGAAAGTGACAGATTATAAAGGACTAAGTATGTTGTTAACGACTGCCTTTTTAATGACACATTTGCCTTGAACATTCTTACTGTTTGAATCAAAAAGCAGTGACCTTAGTTGTTTTTTATTGGGTATTCAGCTTAACTCAGGAGCAGGAAAGTGAGGGTTAGTCTTAAAAACAACTCCCAGCCCCCACTGTCTTTTCAACCTGATGACCTTTCCAAAGTCAGCTAACTGTAGGTTTGTAGTACTGTAGCAGTAGCTGGGCTTGCCTGTATTTAGCTTGAGTTTGTTTGTTTTTCTCAGAGAAAGTGGGGGTGTCAGGGAAGGGGTGAAACAGGGAGGGTGGGGGGAAACAACATGAAGACGTATCTTCTCAGACTTACCTTTGACCTTCCTCTTTTTTGTGCACACATGAAAATCAGATCTTTTTGCTGAATGTAGGCTCAATAAGCTTTTCGAGGAGTTCAGAAAATGACAGTGCCTTCTTTTGGATGTTTGCTCTACCGGTTCTCTAGCCTCAATCGAAGCCACCTTTTCTGACCTTTCTTTTGGTAGTTTCTTAATATGCAAATTGTATATTTGAATTAAACACTGAATCTCAAGGTATCAGTTCTAACATCAATGTATATTTTTCTAAGTAACTGTTTTTTATGAGTTGTTTGTGAAGGAGGAAAATACAAGGCCTTTTCTCTAACAGAATGAAATAAATTTACAACCTGCACTCATATGTCTGGTTTGATTTCAGCTCATTAATGAATGCTTTGTACTAAGACAGATTCCACTTTGACAAATCAAAGGTCTGAATAAGTTGCTCAGTTTCCAGATACCCTTTAGAAGTTGTGCCCACTTCCTGCTTCACATTTCAGAACCATTTCACCGAAGCTCACTCATTCAATCTTTATTGTTTTGAATGTCGATAGATGCATTTCTGATGTCCTTCTGTTTTAGTCATTTACAGCTCTTGATGAAGACGGCAAGTTAAGTAAACATCTGTGTAATGCCCTGTTGTTGTCCACCTGCCCCAAACAAAATGGCAGGAAGTCTAGACATGAATTATCCCTGGCCTGTAACCCAGCAGTGACCAGAGGAAGTGATGTCAGGAGAAAATTTCCCTGGACCTGTGAGGCAGACGGACAGAAAAGTGTGTTCCTCCCTGGGATTTCCTATCAAGTCTCTCTTATGTCTGTCCAAGTCACTAAAACAAACTTGAAGCACCTGCCACCTATTATAAGACCTACATCTTTGCGGGTCTCTCTCTTTAAACGGCATTAAAGGCTTGTGTCGTCACTATTACTGGCCACCGGGGAAGCTGAATGCTGACATAAAGAGATAGGACAGATTGTTTTTCCAACACGGGGAGGAAAGTCTTGGCTGCAGAACAGTGTTTACGTCCAAAACAGGATGTTCCAGCCAGTTGCAGCTTTTCCTTCGATCATGGCCTTGAAGGAAGGTGAACTCAGACATCTCAACCCCCGAGGTGTTGGCTTACACAAACACTCACCCAAACGCGCACCACACACACACACTCATTCAAAGGCCCTGAAATGGATACTGTTTGCTTCGCTTGTATATGCAGAGAACCTGTCACCCGGCCAAGAAAACTGTATTAGCTGTCACTTTTTCATTCCCAATAGGTGAGAGATTGTCTGTCCATCTCTAGATGTTGCAACAATAAGGATTAGTTGATGACAAGGATAGAGGGCTCATATTTAGAGGATGGAAAACATAAACTGGCTCAGACATCTGTTCACGCGTCACTTCTTTGACTTGACACAAAAAGGCTGGAAACACAAAATCACGTTGCCATCAACAGCAGTCTGGTTGCTCGCTGCTCCCAAAGATCAGTGAACTACACACACACACACATTTCCTCTCTAACAGGAAGTGGCGGGCTAAGTGGGGGGGGGGGAGTGAGTTAATATCTGAGGTAAAAGAGCTATAAATAGGGAGCATTGTAGTTGCTGCTGACAAATGTAGACATTGGAGAGAGGGAGACCGGAAAAAGGCCACGTTACACACATTTACAGCGCCCTGGACTGCACACAGCCTCGATTACATGTGAGAAAACATTGGCCGTGTTTTCAAAGCAAGCTGTGTTTTACGCTGTCAGCAAAATACTTCAACTACCCTTTGAGAACTTCAGAGGTGGTCAGAATAATGACATCACTTATCTCAACCTTTTTAAGGCGTAATCTAGTGTTTATGCCCATGGTTCCCGAGTGGGAACCATGTTTGCATCTTAACTTTAGAGGAATATTTCTTGTGAAATACTGATTTATTTTAGGCCTCTAAGACTCCTCTTGTTCTCCTCTGGTGGGTGTATTTGTGTTTTGGCTGAAGGTCTCTCTTTTTCTTGTCAGGGAAAATTGACATAGGACATATGGGTTGTCAAAAACAGGGTAAGTGAGACATTGGATATACTTTCTACCTAAGAAGAGCAGATAACGAGCCACAGAATAAAAAACAGTGCACAAATTGATAAAAACACGTAAAAGCAACATGATTACAATAGTTTTACTAAGTAAGTTTTGTTTTGAGTATCAACAACTTTGATCCACATGAACACTTCTAGTGCTTTCACAATTATCTTCTCTGCTGCTGTTGTGTTCATGTGCGCAATGATCACCTTGTTAGTTGGGAGAATTCAAACATTTTTGTTAGTTACCAGTAAACAGTCTTCTGTTTTTAAAGTGCATATGGTTAAGCAATTATCACAAACTATTACAAGGAAATGCTTAATAGCAAATAATATCAAATCATTTGTTGGTAATAAATCTGTTCAGAAGTAGCCTTTTTTTATAATTCACACACCTCATAAGTCATGACACATCGTTTTCCACCATTTGAAAGTACATTAGCTGCTATCAGGGGGCTATTTTGTGGAAGGTTTATTAGAGATCAGGGATACTATAAAAAGTATGTTTGTCTGTGTGAATAATGTGCTAGATGTGCTGTGTAAGAATAGAGCAAGAGAAATGAGCACAGAACATGTCCATACAGCTGCGTTTATCTGGGTCTGGGTGTACTTGTTAGTACGTGCGTGTGTTAGCAGACAGCTATCGTAGTTGGACAGGTGGCCGGCAGTGTCGCATGTCACCGATTGACTAATTCTCAAAGGTGACAGAGTGCAACCCAACACTTTATCACTATGGTTCCCATGAATGCTTTGCCTTCCCCTCCACCTCACAGTGTGATTTACATCTTCATAACATGCTGTAATGACTGGTTGTGTTGTATGCCAGCCACCCAAGAGTACCTGGAAATCCCTCTAGTACAAACCTAGCTTTTTTTTCGAAATCCCATAATTTGTTGAAATCTCACCAGGAGTTTTGACTTAACAGGTTCAAAAACAATTCACTAACGGTTACATTTAATGTTTTTATGATGGTTTGAATAAAGATCAGTGTTAATCATCTATTACTGTACTTATGATGCAAAATATCTCTATAGAGAGACCAGTCTTTTCCTCGCAGCTGTCAATTAGAGGAACAGAGAGTGAGATAGTGATGGTCACCTGAACCGTACATGTTGTTGACTTGATCGAGATAAACGTCTGGAAATGCTTGTAAATGTAGCTGAGTTTATGGGGAGCAGATGGCAACATTGTGTGGTGTTGATGTGCTTTGTGGTTTTCAGAGCAACTCATTCAAATCAAGTGTTTCTCAAAGGACTGATGCTGCCAGCCCTGCTAAGTACTCTCCTATTATAGAAAAAAGGAGTGCCATCGTCCCACAGACTATTTGACAACGCATATGCTGCCAAGCATTTATTCCATTTTGGAAATGTGTTGCCGTGTCCGCCAAATATTTCCCATTCTGCGTGTGCTGTGAATTATAGAATATGACAGAGAGGAAAGTGGGAGTTTCACAAGGTGGAAGGACACATGCTGAGAGAGAAGGAAGCACATGCCCCCTTTTTTTTTTGCTATGAATCCTTTTTCTTTTGTGAGCGAAAGGGTAGCACACACATGAGACTGCCTGTTGACTTGCTACAGACACAGTGATGACTGAGTGCCAAACAATGGGGGACTGAAATAGACATGTTGTTGCAGTGGCTGATCCACATACATACATCACACCAGTCACATCTGGGTCGACTAGTGCTGCCTGCGAGCGTCTTCCTCCTGGTCCGAATCCAGAGTGGCTGCTGCTCATGAATCAAGACGAAAAATGAACCGTGTAGCCAGTGAATATCAGAACGATGAACACTTCCTGAGTGAAAACGTAAAACAAATGAATTGCTAGCTGCTTCGTCTGTTAACAACTAATAGCTTTTATGCAAAAGCTTTGTTTGTATGCAACAACTGAAATAACCCTTTGCATAAAATTGATAAACACAGTGCACGGGGTTAAATCCCTGGATCATGCAAAGGCAGAGTAACCAGACCTGTATCACTGTTCTGAATAAAAACCTTGATTTATAATCTGGCTTCACGTCAGCTGCTCTGTCAGTTTCAATCGCTGAGGTTTGTTTTCCAGCTCCAGTTTACGATGCGAGTGACCAAAGCAGACAGGGTTGAGCCAGGACATTTAGAGCTGTAGTCAAACTGAAATCAGCCATTTCTATCAGACAAGAGCCAGCACAGCTGCAGCCTGCCTGCTTACCTTTGACCTTGGGTATAAAGGTGGTGGTGGGGGGGTTGTCATTTCAGGAGTCTTGCCTTGGTCATGGCTAATAGAGGCTGAATTGGTGCGACTACCACCTGGGGTGATAATGGGTGTGAAGTGAGGCCTGGTTTGACAACATCAATTGGTTTAACATGAATTGTTGACACAAATTTTTAAGAAGACGCTATTCATTATATGAAGTTAAATGTGTACACTTGAATACCAGAGTTTTAGTGATCGGGGTGTTGTCTCCATGACATTTATTTATCTCAATATGTTGAGATAACAACTGTCCTTAGTATTATGCAGACTTGTAAATGCCACAATATATCCCGACCTATTAGCTCTGTCAGCACTTTCCCCATTGTTTGCACTGTTAGCTCCGTTTGCACCGTTAGCTATGCGCTGCAGGCTCACAGTCAACATGTTGATGATGTTGTGTCCTGTGTTTGTCATTAAAAGACTCCAGAAAGAACAGACATTTGGCTATTACATTTAATCTTGACCTTTATAACCCACACCCACCCTTTGCTTTTTTCCTCACACTCTGTGTTGCCACGTGTCTCTGAAACCCAAAATGAAGTTGTCCATTGTGTCTTTGCTCTTATTCTCAGATACCATTTACACAATCCATCTCCTTCAGAAAGACTTCAGACAGAGCAGATGACTTCCTCTGCAGCCATCTAGCAGGCGGGTGACGTGCAAGGCTGTGGCTACTTCCTGGAGGCAGTACGTACCAGTGTGGACCTGGGGGAACAGAACTTTCAAAAGAATAGGTACAAAAGAATAATTTGTTTATTTTTTGTAAGCACCATTGTTGAGCCTGTTTCAAAGGTCTTATTGGTCAATTATTTCTCTAACGGGGAAAAAAACTGAAAACAACATATCTGAGATGTGATATGAACAATTTGCATATGTTAATATAACTTACAGGCATCTGCTTTTTTCCTGTTAAATGAATAAAGGACACAATTCTTGTTTCATAATATAAACTGATACAGTTTGCATGTAATAGATGAAAAAGAAAACATACAAACACAACAGCAGCTCTTTAAAAAGTGTGTTCATTAAAGTGCACACATGCAGACCAACGCACACAAAACGCTCCCCCAAAGAGCTTCTGTGTACACGACTTGAAAAGAACTTGCAGCAAGTAACCTCTCTATAGAGGTGTGTTCTGTAGATTACACAATCGCAGTGAGAATAAGAAGTTCTTGTGTCTACCAACCTCCAGCTATGTCCCCAGGGTGTGCACAGGAAAGGCGCCTGCCGTCGGTCACACATCTGTAAACATGGGCAGACGAGGAGGCAGCTGACGCCGATGTTATCACACAGACATTAGCCGCCGGGCAGACAGCAGATGAACATGAAAATGGTAATTAGTTTCCATTTTAGCCCTGAATAAACTGGTTTGTATAGGTCTCTGACATATCAACAAACACAGAGGACACTGAATACTTTACACTATAATG